TCAGAAAGGGGCTTCCCGTTAATCGGCTTATTTTTTTCTTCCTCCCTCCCCCCCTCCCTCCCCCTTTAATTTACCCTGTTTCCTAACCTGAAAATAAGCCCCAATATGATTTTTCAATTGTCTTATTTTCGGGGAAGCAGGGTATTATTCTTGGGACAGCCTTCAGACGAATAATAGCCGCCTAGAGTGGTCGTATATAGACCAGATGGGCGGGATATAAATAAATAAGATAAATAATATTTATATAGTTATCACTTTTACTTCAGCAATTAGAATAAAGAGTGATAGTGGGAAACATTTGTCCTTAATTTGTGCGTTTTCCTCAAGTGAGGCCAAGGCGCATGCGCACGGCGTTCCCGCCCTCGCGCGACACAGACGGGGGTCGCGAGGCCCTCTTATGTAAAACAACGCGAGGGGGGTATGCATCACGTGATCAAAGCTCGCCTCTTCCCGAGGTCTCGCTTTCCCGCCTTCCGCGCAGCAAGCACGTGACCCGGGAAGCTCCGCCCTTGCCGTCCCTCGCTGTCAACCCAATACGCATGCGCCCTTGGCCAAGCCGCCCACGTTGCTCCAGCCATTATGGAACTTAGAAGTACGAATGGTATTAAGCAGAGTGGACCGCCCATATCAGTATGCCCTTTTTTGCTCGTGGTCATAGGATGATGTTACTGCACGATGACGTACAGTATTTGATATCTACATGTGGATTAGAGATGAAGACTTCTCCGTGCCTTTGGAGCTCTTTTGCTGCACTCTGGGGGCCATTTATGAGGGACAGGAGACTAGAAATCCGAACCTGTGGTAAATCTTCCCAGAAATGTTTGTGATGATCCACATTGCGGGGCTGTGGCAAGCTATTCGTGCACCACTAGAAACTGCCAGTATCAAAAGAGTAGATAGCACATTGCATCAGCCCAGGAAGTCTATCATGCAAGAGCTTTTTTTTTTTTTAAAAAAAGTCATGGTTAAAAACTGATTTTTTTCACATGGAAAAAAAGAACGTTACTTCGTGTAGAATTGGTGTTAGCACGAACTGTTTCCGAGGGCGTGGGGAATGCAAAAGTAATGAGACGATTAAAAAAAAACTTGCGAAATTAACCCGGAAGCACACTTCCAACCACTGGTATGGTCCAGCGTTTCTTTCCTAGTTCTAGAGGGTACTTCTGCGCTTGCTTCCCCAAAAGCACCTGCTCCTTTCGCGCGGCCGCTGGAGACACGGAAGCGCATGCGCAGAGGCTAACCAGCGCTCCCCCTATTCTGTCTTACTGTGAATGATTCAGCCCAGTCAAGAACGGGCTCCGTTAATTGGCAGGTCATTTGAAAGCATGAGTTGGACAGATTTACACCTTGCACGAGACTGAGGAAAATAAAGATGTTAAAACACTTGTTAAAGCAAGGCACTTCCGCCTTTTAAAGCACATTCTTGTGGACAGAAAGCATTTTTTAAATTCTCAGTAAAGTCTTTGTCATCATATGCCCTTCGTCTCAGGAGGGTTCCCGCCTAAATTGATAAACACTTCAAACAGCAAACACAACTTAAAATACCCCCCCAAAAAATACAGTTGACCTTTAGGAATAAGCCGTGGTTGATGGGAGTTGTAGTAAGCAGAAACACAGTTACAGTATTTCCTTTTGTCTATCCCCAATGGAAAACGCTGAGGCACAGCAGAAAAATAAGGCATTATATATGTCTGAGACCTCTGCCTTTTGGATTTTATGTTTGTGGTGATTTCTCCAGTGGTATTAGGTTTTAATCCAAGATCAGATTCTAAAAAGCACAGCGGACCAGTCGTGCTGTACATCTTTACTGAAAATACGGCTCCATTAAATTCAGTAGATGAAATCGCAGGAGCAGGCCACGGTAGCCTTCTTCTCCGTGAATGTGTAATTCATTCTTCACAGTCATTCACCAAGATATACAGTATCAGTTTTTAAAACTGTACTATGTGTCATAAGGCTTTTTCTGATCCAGGTGAGAATCACCTGTGGCAGAGTACAAAAATGTCCAAAAATGCCCCAAAGCACACGCACGGTCCATCCAGAGCCAAAAAAGCACAACATGGAATACAAGTAAAATAAGACTAGATGAAGTAAAATAAAACATATTACACAGTATTTTCTGATTCCAGTGAATTCCACTGCCCCCATCCCATGGAAGAAATTTGAGTTATCCTTGACTCAGGCCAATCTATTTACTACCAAAACATATCATTTTTGCTCTGCTTCATCACGGGTTTCCAAAAAGACCAAACAAACCAGCTTTAGCCATATAGAGTCAGAATGTGCTATAAAAATGGGGAGAGGACCCTAATCAATGACAACAATCAAATGAGGATTAAAACTGTAATGTCAGGTGCCATCACTACATCTTATTACAGTTTCACTGGATAGCTATGTGGTTTAGGTATGGCTGGGAGTTTGATTCCCCACTGGGCCACCTTGAGACAGGCTGAACTCAATGATCCATAGGGTCCCTTACAGCTCTAAAATTCCAAGAATATAAGATTATAAAGTTCTAACGTAAGTAGAGTGAAGTCTTTCTTTTTATCTGTCCTAAATCTCCCACCATTTTGACCTTACAAAATCTTCATTCTCTCTAGGGGTTAAAAATCTAATACACAGTTACCTAAAATTCTAAGAATATAAGATTATAAAGTTTTAAGTCTTTCTTTTTATCTGTCCTAAATCTCCCACCATTTTGCCCTTACAAAATCTTCATTCTCTCTAGGGCTTAAAAATCAAATACACAGTTAGAAGAAGGAGGATACTTGCCTCAGTTATACTATGAGTGAGAAAGATCTTGGAATTGTTATAGATCACAAGTAGAATATGAGTGTGATGTGGCTGCAAAAAAGGCAAATGCTATTTTAGGATGCATTAACAGAAGTACAGTCTCCAAATTCCGTGAGGTCCTAGTTCCTCTCTATTTAGCCCTGGTTAGGCTTCTTCTAGAGTACTGTGTCCAGTTCTGGACACCACATTTCAAGAAGGATGCCAATGAAACGGAGCAAGTTCAGAGAAGGGCAACAAGGATGATTAGGGGACTGGAAACCAAGCCCTAGGAGGAAAGACTGAAAAATCTGGGCATGTTTAGCCTTGAGAAAAGAAGGCTGAGGAGAGATAGGATAGCACTTCAAATTCTTGAAAGGCAATCATATAAAGTTGGGGCAGGATTTTATTCTCGATCATCCCAGAGTGCAGGCATGTAAATAACGGGGCTCAAGTGACAGGAAGCCAGCTTTCGGTTGAATATCAGGAAAAACTTCCTAACTGTTAGAGCAGTACGACAGTGGAACCAGTGACCTCGGGAGTTAATGAGTGCTCCAGCACTGGAGGCCTTACTGGATAGCCATCTGTCAGATCTGCTTTGATATGGATTCCAGCACTGAGCAAGAGGTTGGCCTAGATGGCCTTATAGGCCCCTTCCAACTCAAACTCTTCTATGATTCTCCCACCCATCATGACTCTCAAATATCCTTGGAGAGAGCGAGAGAAAGAGAGATGACACACAGATGCACGTCTCAATTCTTAGGAAGGTTTTTATGCAATTGATACAACACGATGAACGAATAGAGGATTGGGAGGGGTAAAATTTTTTGTGCATTTTTGTTCTTTTTATTAAAAAAAAAGAAACAAAAGAGAGAGAGAGAGAGGGAAAAAAAGGAGAATCCAGCTACAGGAACCTCTATCGTCTCTTCCTCCACAGCCCCTGGGCCACCCCTCCCCTCCCCAAAACCCACCCTCGTGTGACTCGACTCCCCCCACAATTCATCCCCACAGCTTCGGCCATATTACACAAGACATATTACATATTTATAAATATAACCCCCCCACACCCACTTGGAAAGATGGGAGAGGGGGACGACGGGAAAGGAAAAAGAGACACCCCACCCTCCCGTTTTGTACTTTTATGTTGAAAGCACATGACTCTGGGGGTGGGGGGCGAGGTGGGAGGGAAATGGAGCAGGGCTGTGGGCAGAGCCAGGAAAGAAAAATAACAAACCAACGAAAAAAAGAGAGTTGCTACCTATAACCCATTTCATCTTGGTGAGACTGAGGAGCCCCCGGCTGTGGCGTCCCTTCTCTGCTCGGGGCAGAGCAAGCCGGCAAACCGAAAGGCTGCAACCTGGTGGGTACCAAGTGCCAGAAGAGAGATAAGTCCGACCACACCGAAAGCCGTTTCCTTTCCGTTTTCCATTTTAAAAGCCACACAGGAGCACCCATTGGAAGGAGGAGCGGTTTCCCAAGCCAACAACCCCGGTGAGGGGCGGGAGGGACCCCCCCTTTCGCCCTCCCGACAAGCCGCACGGATCGCAAAAGGAACCCAACCAGCCCGTGGGCTCCGATCAGGTCGGGTGGCCTCTGGCCCGTCCAATTTTAAACATCAAGAGAAGGGGGACGGCGACTCCCAGCCAAGCTGGGCCGGCGTGGCGTCCGCGCCCCTCTGTCCTCAATCGTCGCCCCCTTCGTCGCTGGAGTCGGAGTTGGCCGGCATCATGGGGTCGTCGTCGAGCAACGAGAAGTCCCGCTCCGAGCTGGCGTAGCCCTGAGACAAGTCGTCCATCTCATCTTCCTCCTCGTCCTCGTCGACGGGCGGGGGGTGGCCCAGGTGCAAGGGGCCCGTGGCGTAGCCGGCGTGGCTGAGGGCGGGATGGAGCAGGGGGGTGGAGGAGGAAGTGGCGGTGGCGGCGGCAGTGGCCGAGAAGGGCATGTACTGTAAGGGAGATCCGTGCGCCGGGCCGGCTTGAAAGTGGGCATGGTGTAAGGAGAGGGGCCCGGCGGCTCCGAGCTGGACTCGGCCAGCTCCCATCAGAGCCATCATGTTGGAGAACTCCATGGGGGTTTGTCGGCCCCGCTTCTGGGCACTGTCCACCCCGACGGGTCCCGGCAGAAGGCGGTTGGTTGTGGGATCGGGCAGAAACCCCTAGGAAAATGAACAGAAAAAACAGGATCAGATCTTCCCTTCTTTTTTGGTTCTATTCCACCTTTCTCCCACAGTAAGCACCAAAAGGCCGCTCACAAAAACAATTCCAAACACACACACACCGAGACCAAGTTTTAAAATAACACTTACAAGAAGATTAAGAAAAGACCAGTAAACATTTTTAAAAATATATATATCAAAAATGGAAGAATTTAAAAGCCTGTCCTGGCTGCCGTTAAATGCTTTTGCTTCTGCCACTTGTTCAACGGCTAAAGTCTACTTGAAAAGGAAGGTACGAAGGATAACTAGGAAAAACAAAACGGAACTTCTTAGGGAAGAGATTTCTACATGACAGGAATAGGCTGTTTCATATCCTTACTGGTGGAGTCGTGGGGTGGAGAGAAGGGTCTTTCCTGTGGATCTTAGAACCCGGGGAGGTTTATAGGGGGAGACAGCTATTCAGATAGCTTGACTAAGAATTTTTAAAACATACAAGAATTTTCTCCAAGCTTTGCCACCTTCTGCAAGGTGTCATCAAAAAATACACCAATCTGTACAGCCTATCTAGCATGCAGGAAATCTGAATTTCAGTCACCCTCAGACATCACGCTAGTTAACTGTTCTGCATACAGTGGTGCCTCGCGAATCCGCATAGCAACGTGCAGTCACCCTCAGACATCACGCTAGTTAACAGTTCTGCATACAGTGGTGCCTCGCTTAACGAGCACCTCAGTTAACGATGAATCCGCATAGCAACGTTTTTTAAGCAATCACAAAAGTGATCGCATTGCAATGTTTCTAATGTCAAAAAATCGCTTCGGTAAGCGTTTCGCTTACCGATTTTCACATAGCAATTTTTTTAACAGCTGATCGGCAGTTCCAAAATGGTCGCCAGTTAAAGGAAATGGCTGCCCGCGGTGTTTTCGCGCCCTTTCCTCGCTTACCGGGCAGCGAGAATGGCGGTTGCATGGAGGATCTTCGCATTAAGGTGAGTTTTTTGCCCATAAGAACACATAAAACGTGTTTTAATGCGTTCCTATGGGCTTTTTTTGCCCCGCATAGCGACGAATCCACATAGCGACGATTTTTTCAGAACGGATTATTGTTGCTATGCGGGGCACCACTGTATTTAAGTCTAAAAAGGCCATACTGTTTTATGTTCTGTTAACGCCTTTCTTTCTCCTCTTGCACGGTGAGGCTTAAAAATAAGCACACCGCCATTTCTTCTGAGGATTCTAAAATTACACTCAAAGTTTTAACATGTTAGCATCGTTGAAAAGAGGAGTTGTTCAATATTGTTAAGACCACAGGCAGACTCTATCATTTAATCACCTTCTTGCCGTTGGCTGAGATACCGGCCGCTTGCATCCGCTCCAGCCCCACCAGGCAGCTCGGCTCTATCGGAACTGGCTTTGGAAACCGGGGCCATCGGTGCTTCCGACGCTCCTCCATATACTTGATGAGACGGGGAAGCAGAGAAAGCATGAGTTCACAGCAAAGTAAATCCAAGAACCTCCGTCATATTCATTTATCACAGCTGCTTACCTTTTTTTTTTTATGAAGCCACCTTATTTTCTAGAACTCTTACAGATCTTTCATGGCATCATAATCTTTTAACAGCATGTACAGTAAAACCCCATATCCACGGGGATCAGTTTCAACGCCCCGCCCCACCCCCTGGATGCAAAAAACCCACAGATCATAGTGAACGCTCTATGGAGCCTGGTCTCTGAGGATTAAAACAGGGCAAAGAGAAGAGCTAAGTTTCGTGGAATTTCCGAGAGAAACAGGAGAATAAAAAGGTAGCCACTCTCTCTTAGCCAAGTTAGGAAAGGCTAGTGCCATGGGGACACGGCACTAGTCGGGGGATCAAACAGGTCACGCCAAGCCCCGGTGGTTTCCAAACGGGCTTGACAGGGCCTGAAAAGTAAAGAAGCAACTCCAGCGATGCTTACAGCCAGGAAGCGAGGGTCCACAGCATACTCCGGGTGAGCCTGCAACCACACTTCGAGGTCTGCCCGCCGGGGAGCTGCGTCACCCACCAGAAGGGTCCCGTCCGTCTTGTTGACCACGGGGATTCGGGCCTCGAGGTCAATATCGGGGCCCCGCAAGGATTCCAGACACTGGAGCTCCAGCTGGACAGCCAAGGAAAAGAAAGGAAGGGTGAGAAACACAGCGCGCCCAACCACCCCCAGCAAGCCTCCTGCCGTTCTGACGGCACAGATTTAAAAACCCGGCTCCTCCGTCTATTACCTCCACCATCTTCTTGTTGCTTTTCTTTTGGGTGAGGGCAGGGCGATCCCGCACGGTGCCGTTGGGGATCAGTTTGTGCTTCTGGAAGGTCAGTTTGATCCCCTCTTCCTAGAAAAGGGACAGGAGGGTTACGGGTCCTCGTCGGGGCTGCATTGGGCAGGGCGCTGCGCTTCCTTTAGTTTATGGGGAGGCCAGGCAGCAAAAACTGGAGACAACCACCCCAGGATGTGACGTTTCCCACCCTTGTTTTGTCTCTTCTCCCTAAGATCTGCCCCCCGCTTGCCGCTCTACAGCTGTTCCCATAAACATCCAGGCATCCGTTCCCCCATTCCAAGCAATTCTGAGCACTGACCGCAGCGATGTCCAAAATGTACTAAAATTCAGATCCACAATATAATGGGAAAACATCAACCAAGAGCACCCGGTGAGTTTTCTACTGTTTGCCCAATTTTGACTGCCAAAAAAAAATAAAAAATCCTTGGCTGCTCTAGTTTTAGGGGTGATCTCTCTGGAACTGGCCACTGCTTTCCTTCTCAAATGGGAAATGGCGGCAGGCACCATGTCGAGAGCGAGAGCATTTTGCAGAGTTGAGGAAAGTCCCTTTGTGAGACAACCACTTCCATAATCCCCTGGCCAGCATGGCCTCCGGAATATATGCCAAAAAAAAATAAAAAATCCTTGGCTGCTCTAGTTTTAGGGGTGATCTCTCTGGAACTGGCCACTGCTTTCCTTCTCAAATGGGAAATGGCGGCAGGCACCATGTCGAGAGCGAGAGCATTTTGCAGAGTTGAGGAAAGTCCCTTTGTGAGACAACCACTTCCATAATCCCCTGGCCAGCATGGCCTCTGGAATAGATTAATTTTATTTATTTATACGCCACCTTTCTCCCCAGCGGGAACCCAAAGCGGCTCACAACTGATTAGAAAAGCAGATTTAAAAAAACAACACTACATACATAATCATTTTTTAAAAAAACAATTAACACACTGGAATGGCTGTCAAAAGAAAGTAACTCTCCCCAAGATCTAGCATTCTGTCTTTTTTATATGTATGGCTTTCACAGAACAGCATGGACCTCTGTATCCATGTGAAGATCGGTTCCAAGGCCCACCTGCCAGTGGGGGCGGAAAAAAACATGGAATACTACTTTAATAGCAAACATTATACATAGTGTGGCCTTTAGCTCTCCCTAATGACCAGTTCTGGTAACTAATTATGATATAGAGAAATATTTCTAGATTTTTTCTGTCAGTATTTTCTGACTGTGATCAAGCGAACCAGCAGATACTGAACCCGCGGATAAGGGAGTCCTACTGTAATACAATGAAGGCATCTCAGTGTAAGAAGTGCTATTAATTAAGGAGACACCAGGAAATGGGTACAAGGCGTATTTGGGGGATTCCGTATTAGCTCCGCCACCCTTCCCACCATCCAGGGCTCATCCTCCTGCCTTCTACTCACATCTTTGATCTGCACAGTGAACTCCTTTTCTTGGCCGCCATGCCGGAGGCGGGTGAAAGACGTCGCTCCTTCTTCCTGCGTCCCGCCCGCCAGGGGGCAGATGTGCGGGATGGGCGAGCTGGTGTACTCTCCGTGCAAGCGCGGCAGCCCCTCTCCGTGGCCGAGGCAGGGACCCACCTGGCCCAGCTGCGTGGTGGGCCACTTCCCGGACAGCACCGCCTGACACACCAAGTCGATGCGGTTGATGAGAACCCGGTCCTGGTGGGCATAGAACAGAGACGGCATCAGCCCTCGCCCCAAGAACCGCCGGCGTGGCTTGGGTTCAATCCCTGCCTTCTCCCTTTGGAGCCGAGCCCGTGTCCTCCACCCTTTGGCCGTACCTCCTGGCTCTCATTCCGCACAAAAAAAGGCCCACACCATCAGCCAACAGTTTGAACTGATTTTATTTTGCAGACCTGAAACCCACTTTTTTTCTCCCAGCAGAGAGGTGAGTGATGCTCCCGTCAACTGACCCCCGTCCAGCCACAATGGGAGATCCTCTCGCCCTGGACTTCAGGACATCTTTAAGCCATCTCTTGAGATGTTTTGGACTTGACCACAGAAGCCCAATGAGAGGATGAGCTACAGCTCAGGACATCTGAAGGCTCTCCCTTCCCACTCTTCGGGATGCCAAGCCATGGGTTTTTAGGCGGCCACAATACGCAACCCGGTCAGGGTCCTGCCCAGCCCCACCCCGGAGGGCTTTCCCCTCCGCCCAGCGCCTTCCTGACCTTTGGCCACTCGTGAGCCCGCTGGCGTTCCTGCAGGAGCAGATCCGAAGCGCTGGGCTGCGGCGAGTTGCCCTCATGGGAGGTGGGCAGGGACAGCAGCGACTCCTCTTCCTCAAACAGTTTCCCTCCACAAGAGGCCTCTTCACCTGGGGGGAGGGAGAAAGAAGAGACAGCACCTGAAGGCGGTCCTCCGAGAGGGATACCTCGGCACAGCAATCAAAGGGCAGAACAATGGGACGCGAGGGATACCTCGGCACAGCAATCAAAGGGGAGAACAATGGGCCGCAAAATAATAATAATAAAGCCCATCAATGCTTCTCCCCCGCTGTCAAAAAATACAGGAGTGTTTGGCGCATGGAGAGGACAGCTTGGTCCCCATTTTTTATTTAATTCCATTTTGAGAAGAGTCTGCAAATCATAGATCCAAGAGAAATGGGGTACAGCAGTGCCTCGACTTCCGTTCCAGAAGATGGGCGTAACTCGAAATGGTTGTATGTTGAAGCATCGTTTCCCATGGGAATGCACTGGGACCCCATTAATCCGTTCCGGCCGGAAAAAAATACCAATAAAATAAAATAAGAAATAAAACACTGCAAGCCCCATGGGTGGCTGGCCAAGGGATTTTTAAAGGCTACCCTGAGCTCTTTGGAGGAACAGCTTAAAATATGTCTCAAAAAGCATTCAAAACGTGGTTAAGATGGGTTTTTTAAAAAGCCAATCAGTAACCATCTAAAAACCCAGCAGTTCCCAATCTTGGGTCTCCAAAGGTTCTTGGACTGCAACTCCCAGAAGCCCCCGGCCAGCGCAACTAAACAGTGAAGGCTTCTGGGAGTTGTAGTCCAAGAATGTCTGAGGCCTCAAGGTTCGAAACCACCGAAATCAAACAGATACTTTCGTCAACTGGCACCCCTTGTTTTGAGAGGAAAGGCAGTGCGAGAACCCCGTGGGAAGACCAAAACATCTCAGCAGCCCAGAACGGAGAACGACAGGGATCAAGAGGGGGTTCGCAAAGCCACACGAAGGCGGAAGAAGAGAGTGGAAGGGACCGGGAACCTGGCTCACCTTCGCTGTCATCGGAACATCCCGAGGTGGAAGAGCCGGAAGAAGAAGCCGAGATCTTGCTGAGGTCCAGCTCGGAATCGGAGTCGTCGGCGGATTCCGTCTTCACCGGGAGAGGCTGGGGCTGGGGGGGCGCAGGCAGCTCATGCAAGGGCGGAGGCAGAAGCAAAGGAGACGGAGCGGGAGTCCCGCCGGCCCCGGAAAGAGGCTGCGGCTGGAGCCCGGGAGCC